TTCTATTTATATTTCCCCTTGGCAGTGAGAATGGGCTAGAGCTTAAAAAGGTGTATGGAGTTTCAGAAGCTTGGTGGTGCTTTTATTCCTTTCATTTTTGTTATTGGATTAGTTGGCTGCAGAATACAGTATTTAATTCTTCATGACAGGAAACTTGCATAGAATATATGTGTTCGGGGGATTGATTTTGGAGAATAGTTCATTTTGTAGGGCATTTTTGTGCAGCACTAGTTTGGTCTTTTTCATATTCCTTTAGGCGGTAATGTTTTTCCAAACAAAAAAACACAACAGAAAGAGTAAAAAGAACATATTTTTGCAAATCGTGGAGAAAAAAATATGTACTAAAAATCAGGTAAGGCGGTACTTTGCGCCCCATTTCATTTTCATCGGGGCGGTCTTTCTAGGAGCTCGAGCAAGTACCAATTAGGCATTGCTTATGAGTGCCAATTTTTTTACATTTATTTAATTATTTCAAATTATAATAAAATAGATTTGATTTTTATACATATATTAATTATAATTGTAAAATTAAAAAATAATAATCATGTAAAATTTAATGTAATAGTTATAAGTATATAATATTTTTGAAAATCTTTGTATTTAACCATATTAATTAGTATATTTTATAAAATAAATTTTAAGTTGTGTATGTTAATAAATATAAAAAAAAGATATTAATATTTTTACGACTCCGGCCCTATATCCCGCAAAGGCGCTAAGCCACAGTCTGCCGCCTAGCGAGCGTTTAGCGCCTTACAGAACATTTAGAAAAAAATAAAAATAAAAACTTAGAAATCCAGTAAGTATAATCAAATATTTAAATGTGTAAGTAGCATCAAAGATTTAAATGTAGTCTAGGATAAATACTTATAAAGCATTAGATTAACAAAATTTAAGATTGTATTGGAATTATGCCGTAAATACCAAAAATACTGATCAATGATTTAAAAACATTACAAATATTTTTTTTTTAAGAAAAGTTAATCATTAACTCGTAAAATTACAACTTAATATATATTAATATATTAAGTTAAGTATGTGTTCATCAAATTTATCTATATCATTATTTATTTCCATATGCATTATATCTTCAAGTCAATTGAATGTCCATTTTTCAAATAATGTGAGTTGTAATTTGCTACAAAATTTAAATTAGATTGTAGTTTTGCATGTTGAATTGAAACTAAATTTTTTCCTCATTCTTAAATGGGACAATGTATATTAAATAAATAAATAAAAGAGAGAGAGAGAGGAAAAAAGTGAGGTTGCAATCTTTTTCACCCTAGGCCTAGGCTTGCCCCCACTGAACTAGATGGGCATATGACCTGTGTCTCATCTGTTCTTGAACTCCTGATATCTGCAAGTGTTCGGAAAAGTTCGCTAATTTTCAGCTAAGTTATTTGGCTATTAGGTCTTGTTGAATCCTAGATTCTCAAGGGGAAATGGGAATCGTATCGACGTTATTCGAGTTCTTGTCGATCGCTGCTTCAGTTTTTGTTTTGGGATTGTTGGCGGCCATTGTTTTGGCAGCCTACAGAAGAAGAAAATATTGTTACAGGTACGATCTGCAACCAATCACTCTCTGGTTTTGACCCTTTTTACCATTCTCAATTTGAGGTTCCTTTGTTTAACTTTTAGCTGTCAGGCTGAGTCAACTCCTGTTATTGAGGATCCAAATTCATTGAAGCCGGTAAGTATCTGGATTTTTTTTGTGGATATTTTAATACATTGTCTCTCGTTCCTTTTATTAATGCATTGTGCTGTTCAATTTACTGTTTTCTGGATTCATGTTGTATAAAAAGGTAGAGTTTTGATGGTAATGTAGCACACCCCTTTCCTTAAAGATTACTTAATTTTCATTTTTATAGTTAGTTCTACTGCAAGCTGCTTTAGGGAAGAGGTAAAATCTTTTAGTTGAAATTCCTAATAGAATTGGAAGTTGACTAGTTAGATGTAGAATTGGTGTGATGTATAGTTGCTCCTTGTGGTTTATTGACTGCCGGTGATTCATATGCATTGATATTTAAGTGGGTTGATCTGGTGAACTTGTATATTCCAGGTTGTTTGTCCTCATATTCGTGATCCTGCTGAAAAATACATATCTTTGATAATTCCAGCATACAACGAGGAGCATAGACTTCCAGGGGCCCTTGACGAAACCTTGAAGTAAGCATCTTCAACCTGCTATATTTTGTTGCTTTTTTTTATCATTACATTCCAAACAAGATTTTGATTTCACTAATCTAATCAAGTTTTAGATGACAATGGACATTAATTTCTGTTGGTGCCTATCTCACATTCAATTTCAGTTTTTTCTCTGCTGCTTGCTTTGTGAACTATTAATACACATTCATATATTATTGTCAATGCTGTGTTTCATGATAGTGATTGAGATTTATACTCTAGATTATTGTAGTTCTCTTTTTTCCTTATATATTTTCATTTTTCTGGAGTAGTAGTTTGATAGGTCTAGTGTATTCCTGATTTCAAAGCAGGTGGAGTTGATTTCTATACAAAAAATAAAGGACAAAGAAGAGAAAAAGAAAAAAGATAGGTAGTTTACTAATAAATTAGCTCGGACAAGCAAATCTTTTCAGTTTTGGTTTGAAGTTCTCAACATAATTGGGATTCTGTTTCAGCACAGTTAACTTGTTTGCTAGAATTTCGAATGAATATTTACAAAGCTATTAAAGGTCAGGCAACTGCAAATTGTGTTGTTTCTTGTTCACATAGTGGACTATTTGATAGATCTTTTGTTGCCTAATGATTGATATTGGTTTTTGAATGCGGAAATGAATTTTCTATATGATTTCTTATTTTATGTAGTTGATTTTTAGAACACTAATAATGTATAGCATGGTCTCTAGTTATCGTCTCTATACTCAATCCACTGCATTTAATGCCTGGCATTGCCTATCACGTTGGTATCAATGGTGTTGATCTGCACGATGGGCTTGAGTATTGTAACAATTTTCAGATTGTCTCATTGAATTTTAGCTCGTTGGGCTGATCTTGGTATTAGTAATTGTTTGGAATGTTTTGTCATTTGCTGTTAAGTTAATGGTCTGAGGAAAGACTGACTTTTACCCATTTAATGTTATGTTGATGGACTACTGAGTTATAACTTGCAATTCTGGTTGAAGTGTGTGATGACTTCAACTAATTCAAATGAAGGAACTAGACACTGAACCAATCTCAATTCTTATGAAAAAATCTCTTTATAAGGCTGTTACATACTTTTTGAGAATTAAGTTACACAGAATTAAAAAAGAAATAAATTTTCTACATTTAAAAGTTTAGCTCATTTTCTTCTTATGCATATGGAATAATTATCAGCATGAAAAATCGGTATACTAATTGCCTCATTTGAATGAACCTATGTTCTTTACTTGACTCTTTAAATGTATTTTAGGTCCAATTTGTTGCTTTTACTTCATAAGCTAATTGCCGTGACTCGCTGTGATCAATCTATTGTGTTCTTACATGACATATTGCATGTTTGAGTTGTAGAACGTGATTGTGATCTGACTAGTGTGGAAAAGTGGATGATCTATTGTTAACTCGTTTTTTGTTTTTAGTTTCTAATAAGCACTTTGAACTTGATGTCAGAATCAGATGCACGTGTTTTCTCATAAATAATTCCCAATTTTGTTAGTATGCATACGGCTAATTTTCAATTTGTGTTAGGTGAATTGATACGTCAAAGTATCATTGTGTTTTATAACTATGATAATTTTCGGCCTGTGCAATAAAATTAACTCCATACTAGAAAAATGTGTACGGGATTGCACTGAGAACTTCAGCATAGAAGTTTGCTTTTACAAAAATGCTTGTGATTAGTTGTTCATTTCAAAATAAAATTTGTGCATACATGTAAAAGTCTTGTAATATTTGATTTGGTAATTGTAGGTATCTTAAAGAACGCGAGGTGAAGGATAAGGCATTTTCATATGAGGTATATCATCGCCGTGCTCATCTATTTCTTCACATTCTAGAAAGGTTTTGACAAAATTGCCATTGCTGTAATATGTCACTTTTGTTTATTTTCTCTAAGTTCCAGATGTGTACGTAAAAATATATATAGCATGAGGAAGCATTAAAGTAATCATATCGAAACTTCTTATACTCTTAATTATAAGCATTGGATTTCTTAAATAATATTGGGTAGAACTCATTCTCAAACCTAGCTTAGTGGGAAAACATGCAGAAACCACATTTAACACGATAACATCCCAACAGTTTGGTAAGTTTGAGAATAAGACAGCTCCTAACGCTGTCGAAACACAACATTGCCTCCAAAGGTTGGGTTCTCTTGTAACATGATAATTGGCTCGGGAACAATTCATATACAAAAGCTAGTTCAAAAGTAGAGAGTGCCTTACCCATATTATGGACAATGATCGGAGTGACTGTACTTAGAAAATGTCTTTTGACCCTATAGGGATGCCGAAACAAAACAAAATAAATTGTTTTTGAGGAAGTATGCTTTTGTGTTATTGAATATGTGATTCTATTCCTAGGCTTTAGGTGGAGTGCTTCAGATTTCTCGAGATTTAATCAAACACTTGATATATCTTTGTTGCATCTTTTCCTTTTATTAAATATTTAAGAGATTGGGATCGCATATATAAGGGAAATTTGCAAGATTATTGTGCATAATCTCGGGATTGATCATTTCTTTTTCCCTTGTTCCGTAAGAAATAATTTTATGAATGAATTTACTATGTAATTGCTTTTGAGTTGTGTGAGATAAGCTTTCAAGTTCCTTATAATTATTGTTTGAAATATGGCTCTTGAGTTGCTGCGGCAGTCCTGATTACGCCTCTAGTAGTTATAGTTTTAAGCGTGGAAGAAATACGCAGTTACAATATTAGGATTTAAACATCTATACCTTTTGGTGATGTTAGATATTAAATGCTCGAAATTGTTGCTCCAGAGTGTTGATTGTTCACTACTGGTTGTTGACCCACTCCATTTAGTGATTCTTTCTTTTCATTCTTTTTTCTCTTTTTCNTTTTTTTTTTTTTTTTTTTTTTTTTATTTTTTTATTTTTATTTTTATTTTTTTTTCCTTGAAGGGTTCCCTTTGTGTGAGCTATTTAGGTTCCTTTCTTTGTAGCATTTGATCCATGTTCCAGTTTGGACCCTTATTCAAAAGGTCATCTCATTTTTTTATTGATTAGACCACTTTGTATAATATTATGAATTACTAAATATTGGAGCAGGTGGTGATTGTTGATGATGGAAGTACTGATGGTACAAAAGGAGTAGCTTTCAACTTTGTGAAGAGATACACTGTAGAAAATGTCAGGTTGATCCTTCTTGGACGGAACCATGGGAAGGGAGAAGCCATTAGAAAAGTGAGCAAATTCAATCTGTTTGCTTTGATTTGTATGTTATATATGTCCTAGATTTTGTTATATGGCCAATTATTGAACATTTCTGCTTCTTGGAAGCATTAATAAACAGGGCATGCTCCACTCACGTGGTGAACTATTACTAATGCTCGATGCTGATGGGGCTACTAAAGTGAGTGACCTTGAGAAACTTGAAAACCAGGTGAATACACATTTTGACTACTACGAGTTTCTTTATTGTTTGGTTTCGAGAGTATAGGTTTTACTTACTTCACTATTTCTCTTCTTATTTTGGATTCACTCCAAATCATTCCAGCTTTTATTTCCAAGACCCCTTTTCCATGTAGACCAATTTCCTTTACTTGATCGCATTATCCCTATTCATATTTTCATAATTAAGCTTGGATCGGTTGCTTCTATTTAAAAAAATCATCAATTCTTTTATATATCATAACAAGAAAGATGAATATCAGTTTTTATTATAAATATGTAACAAAGTCATGATTAAGCCAACCTTACTTGAGATGGCTCGTGATATTGAATTGAATCTGTCTGTAAATGAAACCACAACAACATTTCCACCAAATTCAACTATTTTCCTTAATAATCCTATAATCATTTTCAATTTTTGTTTTATGAGGCTCATTTCTTCATCTTTTCAATGCATTGTTTACCTATGTTTCCTGAAATGATACCAGATGAATCAAATACTTTTTTTTTTTTTTTTTTCGCAATATTACTTTTGGGAAGGATATCTAAGTGGAGAACTTAGCTGCTTAACTGAACTGATGATTTTCCTTGTCAGATTTGTGCAGTTGCTGTCAAGGAACGGAAGTTTGGTGACTCTTCAACTGATGGTTTAAATTCAAGGATCTCAGATGTCCCCATTGCAGCTTTTGGATCACGTGCTCATTTAGAGGAGAAGGCTCTCGCAACAGTGAGTAAAGTTGTTTGGTAACTTTTGTATGCATTAGGATGGGTCTATCTCTCTCACGTTCTTATAATATTATTTTTTGTTATTATTATATTCTTATTATTATTATCTCAGTAAATTGTCATCTCCTTGCCAGAGGAAATGGTATCGAAATTTCTTGATGAAGGGATTCCATTTGGTAGTTCTGTTGGCCGCTGGTCCTGGAATTCGGGACACTCAGGTAATAATGCCAAACGCAAAGCTCGTAATTTTGTTTTGCAATTGATGTTCTTGGCCTTTCTTCATCTTTCATTTCTTTTTTCCTCTAGAGTGATAAAAATTATCATTTTTCATCTTCTTACATTCACCTGTAAACGCAATCAACTGAAAACTATTTTGTTCTGTTCCTTTTCTTTTTGTTAGGGTATTTATTTTAAATTATTTATGTTATTTTATTTTTATGTTTCAGTGATATGGTAGTAATGTGTTGAAACCATTAAATCGTATTGTTTGTTGTCTTGTTATTTATAATTGATATTGCACTTTTGTTTGATTAATGGAGTTGTTTGGTATATATATGATTATATTCAGAGAAGGTTTTTACTTTTCTTATTTTTCTGGTACTCTTCTCCATTTTTCAGTGTGGTTTTAAGATGTTCACCAGAGCTGCTGCTCGGAAGCTCTTCACGAATGTCCGCTTGAAAAGGTAAATGTTTCTTTTAGGCGTAAATATATCCTTGCGTTATATTATATGAAAGCCCATTAAGAAAAACACATAAAATTAATTACAGAGATCAATCTCAGCACTTCAAGATAAAAATCTGAAATTGGAAAACCATTTCAAATTACCACCGAAATAAATCCAAAGAACTGAAAGCGAACTAGTCATTTTTTCGCTAATTGTCATCAGTTAGTACAATGTTAGGCAAAATAGGAGCTCCAAATACATCCAGAACTTAATTACATTCCGTTGAGCTGAATAGACAAACATCACTCCAATTCATTATGGAAAACAAAATACAAATGACATTTGAACCAGGCCTACTTATGCCATCTCAATTCTCTGTTATTGGATGTAGCTCTGTGTTTCATATTCTTGTTGAATAAATTCTCCTTTTTTAACATTTTGACATTTTCAGGTGGTGCTTTGACGTCGAGTTGGTGTACTTGTGCAAGATTTTCCAAATCCCAATGATTGAGATATCCGTTAACTGGTCTGAAATTCCTGGATCAAAGGTTAATTTGTTAAGCATTCCCAATATGTTGTGGGAGATGGCACTCATGTCTGTTGGATATAGAAGTGGCATGTGGACTATTCATCCTTGAACATTTACTATATAAGCTAACTTTTTAGTTGGGGCCAGACGAGCAGGCCCGAAACACTCATACAAATAGAACTGGCACTTGTAACTGGCCAAGCTTACAAATACTGAAGTAGAGCTCTACTACAATGTATTCCTTGCTGCAGATCTTGCTGTTACTGAGGGTTTACTGCATATTTGATGTTAGAGCAAGATGTTAAAACTCTTTTGACATAATTTATTGTGACCAAATGCTTGAACTGACTTTTAGTGCCACTGCCATTTTGGATATATTTGGTAAATTATAGTTGAAAAATCAAGTGGATGGATGCTGATAGTCTTTTAGTGAATTTTGAGTTTATAGTTGATAATTTATAACTAAAAAATTATATACTATAATAGAAAATATTAGTTGAAGTCAGACAGGACACTCATATACAATATGACAGGTTAAATTAGTTAAATATCTATTTTTTTAATTTTCGTAGTTGATGAATTAAACAGATATCTTAGGGTGAGTCTGTAGAAGAATTTACTCAAATTAAATTAATTCAATACTAAAAATTTAACTTAAATTTAATTCAACTACACTATCCTCAATATTATTAATATAACTAAATAATAACAACCAAGCATTAAATAATAACAATCAATCATTTTTACACATCATATCAACTTTAATTCACTAGTCATCCACTCACATAATTTTAATTAACAATCACTTCATATCATCTCTCCTACTTTTACATTAAATTAATTCGAGGCAAGGTGATCCCATATCACCTTAGCTATTTTTAATTGTGTCTGAAGCCTTATCTGTATTGATATTTGATGCAGCTGAAAGTAGGAGTTTCAGAGGATTGAGATTAGTTAGAGGGGGCCCCTTATTAACACATTTACTTTTTGCTGTTGATCTGCTAGTGTTTTGTAAAGCTAACTTGGGGCAGGCCTTATTGTTGATGGACATTCTTCACAGGTATGAACAATTCTCTGGGCAGAAAGTTAACTTCTCCAAATCAACAGTGTTCTTCAGTAAGAATACTAACAATGTTGAATGGTCTAACAGCTCACAACTCCTCCAGATATTTGGGCCTCCCTTTTGGGATAGGCCAATCTAAAAGAGAATGATTTGAATTTGTGATCAATGCTGTGAGACAGAGGTTGCTGAGCTGGAAAAATAAGTATCTTTCAACTGCAGGCAAAGAAGTCTTGATAAAACCTGTAATAAACTCTCTCCCAGTCTTTGCCATGTCATGCTTCAAATTGACTGCAGAGGTTTGCAAAGATATTGCTAGAATGACTGTTCAATTCTGGTGGTCAAAGGGTGGTGAGCAAAGTAGTGGTATTCATTGGAAAAGTTGGAATATGTTATCCTTACCTAAGCAACAGGGAGGGCTGGGATTCCAAGATTTAATGATATTCAATGAAGCACTCATCTTGAAGCAGCTTTGGAGGATTACTCACAACCCTGAACTTCTGGTTTCCAAAATCCTCAAAAGCAGATATTTCCCAAATACATCTATCTTTGAAGCCCAAAGGAAGGACTCAGCTTCATGGCTCTGGAATAACTGGTTGAAGGTCTTACCCATATTCAAAGCATACTGCTGGAAAGAAATCAAGAATGGCAGAAGCACTCTGATCAAAGATGGAGGGTGGGTACCAGAATTGAAGGGCAAATCACCTACTCTACAATCTCACATTGATAACCCTCCTGTGTGGGTTTATGAACTGATGTCTGATACAGGGAGAACATGGGATGCAGAAAAGGTGAGGTTTTGGTTTACTGCTCAAGAAAGTGCAACCATCCTTGCATTAAGGAAATGGAACCACAGAAGGATGCAGGTAGAAATGGGCACTCAGTAGCAAGGGCAACTTCTCTGTGGTAGAAACATATAAAGTGTTGATCTTTGAAAAGGTCAAGAAACTTGACATTGCAGAGAGTAGCAAAGTTATATTTGTAGACCCCATGGTGAGAGATAGGAGTTGGAAACTGAAGGTGAAAGGAAAGCTTAAGCATTTTCTATAGAAATGCGTCAATGGTATCTTACCAGTGAACATGAACCTTCTGAAAAAAGGCATGGATATAGATGATATATGCAACATGTGTGGGGATGCAGCAGAGACTATATAACATCTATTCCTGAAGTGCAGCAAAGCCCAAATAGTCTGGAACCTTGCCCCTCTGTCATGGGATGGGATTAGCCAGCAGAATTCAAGCTTCAAGGAGTGGTGGTGGCAGGTTTGTGCCATTGGTAAATCTGAGGTCTCGGAGGCTAGAATCCAGCTCTCCACCCACATACTATGGTGGTTGTGGAGAGCTCGGAATTTATGGGTATTTCAGAAGGAAAGAATTCCAGAGACTGTCATCATCAAAAGAGCATTGGGAGAATGGCAGGAGTTCTGTGCAGTTAAGAGGAAGTCAGCTTCATCAGATGGTTTATGGGGTGGGATCTAGAGTAGGCAGTTAACAGTTGTTTTTTGTTTTTGGTGTTTGCAGTGGCTGCAGTATCTGTTTAGGTCAGAGTTTGGGTGTTTATTGATTTGCTAGTCTGTTATTTCTTTGGCCTCTTTTCCAGCTTTTTGCTCCCTCTTGTTTTGGAGCTTGGTGGTGTGTTTAGTATGTATTTGCTATGTGGAATAGTTTGTATTGGTTGGCGGTTTTAGAAGTGTTATCAAGGTTCGGGTGTGTGTACTTGCTTGATACCTCGGGTAGGGTGTTTGTAGACCACTTTGTCTAGTGGTTCTCCCATTGTATTTCTACCTGTTTGGTAGGCTCGGAGGTGCGTCTTTGTACTCTTTATTTTGAAATGAGAATTTCCTATNTCTTACGCCGTTTTACAGTTCTTTATTTTATGCCCATACCATTGTACTTTGTACATGTCATTTTCATATCATATATCACATTATACTCTCAAACAATAAAAGTGAAATAATTAAAAAATGCTACAAGTATATAATAAATGTACATAGAGGTGTACATAACACTCACATGGAGTGAGATTCACTTGATTTTTTATTTTTGGTGGATCCCACTCAATGTGAGTATTATGTACATCCCTATGTACAATATTATGTACCTATAACATTTCTCGAAATAATTTCATGAACTTTATTGTGCTCAACTCCTAATATTAATAGTAAACATATTATTAAGTTGGGCCATATAATATTTCACTTGTTGGCTTAATCGGATTAGTCATAATAGTAAACATATTTCACTTTTTATAAAAACCATTTTTCAGGATGGAGCCGGCGACCTACCAAGGATGAATTTGTTATGATGAAAACTACTATGATTTATTTTATTATAATATTTTGCTATAATCGGTTGAATGTTTTATCTCGTCAAATTATTTATTACGCTTCAACACTAGTTCGTTGCTTTTCAAAATTGTAGGTTCTCAAGAGTTTCAACAATATTATTTAAAAAAAAAAAATGCCTATATATATTATATATATATTTGAAAATACTGGGTGTTAAAAAGCACCTACCTATTCTTTGATTAATTTGGATCAGCATAAAAAATCGGGAAACCATATTACTTTAATATCTCATCGTGGTTTTCAAAAGCTCTATAAATCACATTTAAAGTTTTGATTCAAATCATTGTAAATTGTGCTAGAAACTTTGAGTCACGGGCAAATTATCATGTATCTGAAAGACTACTCAACTTAAAAAAAAATATTTAGCAAAGATAAAGCCTATGTTTGGTAAACTTATATGATAAACTAGTTGATAGGTTGTTTGATAACTTATAAGTGAATTTCGAGCTTATAATTGATAGTGTATGAGATCGCAAATACTTAGGTGTGCCATGGCACACCTAGCAAGGTGTGCCACAAATGAACATGTTATGTTACAAAATGAACATGTGTAAATCATGTTTGCACATGTTCATTTTGTAACATAATGATTTACACATGTTCATTTTGTAACATAACATGTTCATTTTAAATTGCCCTGACACACCTTGCTAGGTGTGCCAGGACACACGGTAGTAGCACTGGTATGAGATATGACTAAAAACTAGTTTATAGGATAAAAATGTTTGATAAAATTAGCTGATTAGCTGAAATAAGAATTTCGACGGGCTTGTATGAAAAGTACCCGAGGAAGCTTGGGAGATAAATTTGAGCTTTTTAAAAAAGTTTGTCCAATCAAATCAAACTTATTTGAATACTGACCAAATAAATTATAAACCAGTTTATGATACTTGTCAAACACACTCCAAAATGAAATACTTTGAGCGGGTGAAATAAATTCCTTATATATATTTTTCTTTAAACTGATTTCTTTTTGTTTAAACCCATCTTTGCCTTTTTTTTTTCTTTGCTATACTTCTCCAATTTTTTAAAACCCAAAACCAATGCTTTTGTACTTTAAACGAGGTGCACAAATGATCTATATGAAATACCGATGTCATGGACAANGTCCCTTGTAATATTTTTTTTATTATTATTATTAAAAAAAATATTGACATAAAAAGAAATATGACGATATATGAGGGACGCAATCTTCATGTTGAAGATAAAAATATTTTGCTCAATTAACAAACTCAATTTTATGATTAATGCGAAGTACTAAAAACGATGCTTGCTCAATTAACAAACTCAAGATTAATGCAAACTGCAAAGTACTACAACGAGACCAAAGGCAAGAAGAGCAGACAACAAAAAGCCACAATACCAGCAAAGCAAACAAAGATCCCCCATAGAGTTCCATTTTGAAATGAGCCAATAATGCTATGGGCTTGGTCTAAAACTTCACAACTCGCATAGAATTAGCAAAAACATAGAAGCAATAGAAAATTTTGATGTCGTCTTTTAAAACTGCATCGCTTGCGCAAAAGTTGATTCAGAAGAAGTTAGATTCTTCACTTGACACCTGACCTTTTTTTTTGTTCGGATAGCTTGAGCAGCATTTGGGAATTTGTCACAGCATTTCTTGCGATTTTCTCACACAACGACTAACTTTCTTCTTGAAGTCGTCTCTATGTTCCCTCCACTCCTTCTGCAGTAATCAACCAACAGGTAAAAAACGACAGAAATTGGTTCCATGTGTAAAGTTAACTTATTTCTATAGATAAAAAATGGAACTTGACTTTCACATTGAACTGATATATTGGCTTTCATCAACCAACTGTATGGCTTGGAAAAGCACCATTTCATGGTAATAATACATGAGAGAAATTGTGCTGTATTGAATAGATTTGCTATGTAAAATAGGTTCCTCATAGTTGACAATTAGAACTTCAGATGCCAAAAACAAGATAAACATACTGTTAAAGTAACCAACTTGAGAATAAACTGAAAACAGAAAAAGAAACGACGAAAAAAAAAGGGAAAGAGAGGAAATTGGAAAGGCAATAAGCTAAAGAATATAAACAAAAAATTCAATCCAATTGCACTTACAGCAGCTTCAACATTAGCAGGAGACTCATCATTAGGGCTTGACAGCATTGATATGATGCTTAGAACAATGCTCTCCACCTGAAAACCAATATTCTTTTGAATAAAGCATGTTTCACAAAGATACGACACAAAGTGCAGAAGTAAACAAATTTATGGTGGACAACTTTATAAGAAGACTTAATTCATGGCAGAAAATGCGAGACAGAACTTCCTAGGGCATGCGGATACACAAACGTATAAGTTATAACATCCCCCTACCCCCCAACTCACCTACCCAACCCTCCAAAAAAGAACATGAAGAAAAAATGAAGCAGGGAAACAAAACCCATCAATATCAACCAATAAATAGACCGAACTTTCAAAATATCAAAGATCAAGCTATTTTGCAACTAATCCATCCATATGTCCTGAAGCTGACTGGCGTAATAAAAAATGTAACTCCAGATCAAACTCTTCCAAGTGACCAAGTCTCATCTACAATTAGCACAACAATCTAGAATTTAAGCTCAAGGTAAACTGTCAATGGGCACAAAGATGATACTTTAGAACTCTTAAGTTGTCAAATCAGTTTGTATCTAGATTATAGACGACTTGAAAGAATTTGATATCATGATTTGATGCCAACTTAATCAATGGATCAGTAAACAGACCTCTGACAGTTTTGAAAGTATTAATATTGTAAAGATCAAACCTAAAAACAAAAACAAACACTTAGATCTCAAGCTTGAAACTCCTCCGAGCATTAATATAATGCATAAAACTATGTCATCCAATTTCATGATAAATAAACACAGAAATTATCCCGTAACATAGAGGTCCCAGTGCATAAAACTATTTATTCTAAAAGGTATTATTGAAGAATTTAAATCCCTATCAGAAATCGATAAACATCGGTGGGTTGAAGAGAAAAACAATTTACAACGCATGTCATATATTTGTGTTCAAGTTTTACAATTTAATTCAGACCCCATATTAGAGTCACCAGCCACAACCACCAAAGAAAACAATGTGTCTCAGAAGATCACTACTCTGCCTCTGGGTGGTGATTATTCAAACCTCGCGAAGATCTAGAGCCTATATGGACATCCATCTCATAGTTCTAATGGTGGAAACAACAAATGTTCTCAAGCAAACTCATCCTAGATCATACCGTGTGGACAGGAGACCATCGCTCACTAGCAAGCTCATAGCCATTTGGATCATCTCCAGGGGGATGAAGAATTGAAATACAAACCTTTCCATCAGAGTAAACTGCATTCCAAGGAAACTCTCATTCTCAATTCAGTTTACTAAAAGTAAATCCAAAACAATCATTTGGAGCCTTCCTATAGAAGAGAACAAACCATTAGGATGCCAAATCTCCGAAGTGAATCTCACAGTTGGGGGACTGTTTGGATAATTTGAGGGAAATGTCATGATTGCATTGAAGAATCCCCCTTCACTGCATACAAAATTCAACAACAAAAGAATACAAACTCAAATCATGCAATATGATACCAACCATCAAAATCATTCAAGAAAGTGAGGAACATCAATTCAAAAACTATATGAAAAAAACTAAATCAGTTGGCAGTGTGCAAATGAGGAGGCAAAAGGGAAAAAAAAATAAAAATAGAACAGTAACTTTTGCTAGTATCAGGTCACTTGTATGAAACACACATATAAATATTAAATATGTCCATTTATGTGTGCTCTTTTATGCAACAAGCTATAACAAATCCACATATTTGACATGCCAGACATGATTACGAAAAATATTTCCATTTAGTGCAACATTATTTTATCAATCTCCCAATTCACAACATAAAGCATTCCCACACTTGTACTCCTATTTTGATGTTAATTACAGTAGCAACAATTTAACATACAACACAAAACACTTCTTTTTGCCATACCTTTTCACTCATTTTTGTACTTGCTATTTTATTTTCCAATTATTTCTTCAATTAGGAAAACTCAGTAGAGTCTTTCAGCGGCATGTTTTGGCCCTCTTCCCCATCACTTAGAAAAAGTGAGCCACCGGTTCATGAGTTAATATCTTTTCCAATATAGTTGTTTATTCTCCAATTGAATTCAAGTTAATGTACTAGAAGAAGACGGATGTATCCAGCATGCCTTAAATTAGAAGGTATTCAAAGAACTTCTACAACTACATAAAGACTGTTTTCCAATCAGACACTTCTCTCACACGTCCTCCCTCAGTCCAAATTAACCCTGCGGATTCATCATTTTTAACAACACTCTCTCACGAGATTCTTGTATCCACACCAAAATAAAGAAAAACAATTGATACTCTAGAAAAGACATTCATTTCAAATAACTTTCACAGAATTAATCATTATTTAAATTTTAATCCTCTTATGCTATCTCGCGACGGTAATTTTTTTGTATTTATTCACACTTCATATATTTCTCCAAGTAATACTTTTTCTCCACCAATAGTCAAGCAACAAGAACTAATGCTACTATTTAGCACGGCCGCGGATTGTGAGCCTAAAGTCACAGCAACAGGACACTCCAGTTCCAGTTTCCACAAGTAGATTACTGCAGATGTTGCAAGCATATAACGACCAAATCAAGTTCAAATAAACAAAGGAAGGTTGTATGCCACTGAAGTTTGTAGCTCAATGGTGGATGTTTTGCAACTTGTTTCTAAACTCCAAATTCAATAATGATGCTGTGCAAATAATAGCTTAAGAAGTAAGCATACCCTCCGGACATAACAAACTAGCCCACACTACCAACCATTTGCATAGTTAATAATAGGGAAACAAAAAGAAAACAGAGGCACAGAACAAAATCCCAATATCAGAATCTTCCCAGGCAACCCAAATACTCAATACAAACATAGGATAAAAGATTCATAGTCAAAATCAAGAGCACATCGAAAAACCCGTTGCAAGAAAGGAAATAAACAAATTCCAAAAAGCAAGATGCAAGAAGAAAGACTAACTACAAAGTGTCGGGAGGTCCAATTATGGTAACACTCCACTCAAACAGATTACTCTCGTCTAGCAAACCAGCAGAAAAACCATCCACAGGGTTTTTGCACAGATCTGCATAGGAAAAGCGTAGATCATTAAGACCATCAGAATTTAACTCGAACCTAGGAAACAAAACCCATTCACCAACACTGAACTCGATTCAGATATTAATTAAATTTCAACAGTAGGAGTACCTTTGAGCTGTTTCTGAAGAAGAAGGCTGGCTTGAGACGGTGAGGCCATCAGAAACAAAGAAAACGGGAGTGAAACCTAGATTTCCGACGAAATTCAGAGGCAGGCGGAAAGGAAAGAGTGAAATGAAGAGGGAGAACAAAAAGGCGAAAGGAGCGTGCTAATTATATTCAGTCTATATATAAATATGCAAGAGGCTAATTATCAAGTTAGTATGATTTTTAATTATTTATCATGTGAATTTTCCTTCCAAAAAAAAAAAATATCATGAATTTGTTTGAATTTTTAAAATTTAATATTTGAAACTCAATATAAATCACATCAAAACGTATTTATATGGATTTCAGATAAATAAAAATTTATAAAAAAAATTATAAATTTCAAAAGGAACATATGTTCTATAACTTTTCCTTCAGCTTCGTTTTGTTTGTATCGTCGACCCTCGCTCTAATCAATCAGTGAATTCAAAGCTGCTTTCTTAGAATTTGGACAAGCCAAACATTAATAGGTTGCTGAAGTAATAAAAAAATTATAAATTTCAAAAGGTCTTAAGATGTCATTCAAAGTCTCTAACGAATACACCCACGTAAGTATAAATGTCAACTTAGGGAATGTCTTCGTTTGAATTTAAAATTTAAGTCTTTTTAATTTTTTTTTATTTAACTAGCATTTGTAAGGGGGTGATTTACTATAGTTTAAAAATGATTTTGATTGTTTTGATACTTTTTTACACTCTTTGACTCAAAAATCAACTTACATTTAATCTACACTCTTTGAGGAATGGTAAATCCTTATGGGTACAGGATCACAATTGGGTACTAGGCTGGTACAGAGAGGTCCTCAATTGAAAGGACAATTCAGAGGGCAGCATATAGGGGTCAATGATCTATTGGCAGCTAATGGAGACCAATGGGATGAGCAAAAGGTGTCAGAGTATTTTGAAAGCAAGAGTATGCATAAATTCATACATTTGATTTTTACTAATGTGAGGGATTGTTAGAAAATTAATTGTACAGGTTGGGTTCGTCAGCACACTACGAGACGTATTCGTCTTACTGAAAGAGCAACCCTCGCCTCAGCTGATTTTCTTCTTTGTGTATTGTTCTTTTCTGGTTTTTAGTTCATAGTGTACGAACTAAAACACAATATTCACAGTTCATAGGTCTTCCGTTGTAATCGAGACACTCAATTTCTAACAATCACTTGCGGAACGATGTTAGTTTATAGAAAATGAGAAGTTGATCAAATAGAGGAAATAAAATAGGGGCAATCAACTACGTAAAAACAACTATAATATTCAGAGTGCATAATTTAAATTGCAACAAATAATACCTAACTGTGTCACACATCACTTAACATGTATAATGGGAAATATGTAGAACCATATTAAGCTGTATAGGACAAAGACTCATGCTGATAATGTCTTATAAGAGTAGAGGAAAAGAAAGAGAGAATAGAGAGAATATATATTCTTGATATAACTTTCGCTATAAATGAAACTCACAATCCTATTTATAGGATAACTTCTGATGACACAACTCATAATAATACAATTACATGAAGGGAAAAATAGTCATTCATATATATAGAAATTAATTCAGTAGGTGAACCTACCGAATGATATAAATTCATAACAGTTACCAACTTGTTTCAAAGAAACCTGGGTAAAATCACCATTAAGCAGTACACATACAATACGTAAAAACTGCGGAAAAACACGCATGAAAAAAAAAAAGTTTATTGCTTGGTAGATGAAGATAAACTTGCGGAGTTCCTTAAAAATTGAACAAAATCGTCTTCTAAATTAGTTTAATCCTGCAATCACAACGAAGAAGCCAATAATAACAAATGGGTAGAATTATGAGACCCCAAGTACTGCAACATCTGCTATACCCAGCTCAACGCACAAATAGCCGACACCAGGTTCATTCAATAGACTAAATGCACAAAATCCATAGTAAGAGTGGTAAAGATCTGGGAACGACCTTGGGAGTTTACTGAAACCACCGTACTGCAAGAAAACATTTGAGTCGAGTCATCACTTCTGGAACGAGGTTGGTTTAATAGAAAATGAGAAATTGATCAAATAGATGGAAAGAAGATAAGGGGCAATCAACTACTTCAAAAAAAATAAAAAAAGCAAAAAAAAAAAAGAAAGAAATAATATGAGATGTCACTTCAAAGTTTAAACACATTGATTAATGTTGTATACAATGATAGATGCTTGGTGCGAGACCTCTTGTTATTATTGCATTTTCATGAAAAAGTTCATGTTTTCGTGCGAGACCTCTTGTTTACATTTTATATACAACTAAAAAAACATGTTATCTGCGACTGGAAAAGCTCTTGTTTACATATCTAAATCTAGTTTTCTTCACATATAACATATATGAAATAATAATAAACTATATCAAATATCAAAATCAACTATAAAGTAGCTAGAGCAGGAGTCAAATACAATTCTTCCTAAGAAACGGTTTATTAGTTACTATGATGTTTCTATTCTTTGTTCAAGTTTGCAGTTTCCCAATATTGATGAATTAAGTAACTGGGCACACAATGACGTGCAATTATCATGTTCAAATGGAAGCATCAATGAAATTATAGAAACATAAATTGGAATCATGGGTTAAAACTGAAAGGAGAAACCGAAGCTGCACCTCAGACTGGCAAGTTAACAAAAAACTATGTAATGCTCTCTTGTTAAGGAACTTATCTGCACGTAACATCCTTAAAACTCCTCCAATCCTACAGAGGCAAAATGATGGTTAAGAAAGTGATAAATATAAAAAAAGCTAATCACCAAATGGTTATTCAAGCATACCAAAAGGCATAACAGGTATCACTTGGCTTGTTTGCTCTACCTTGAAAGCCACCATCTTTTGCTTGCTTCTATAACAGTCAAATGAATAGGCTTGTATGTGGGATAATTTAAGCCAATAACAATAGCGAAGGTTGAAAAGAAAAGGAATACAACATTTTTTTTTTTTTTTTATATAATTGCATTTGTTAACAGAGGAGGATATACACATTCGTTGAAAAATCTAACTCTGCTGACTCAAGTTTGGGCAAATGGAAAGTACGTGGGAAGAAATAAGACTTCGTAAAGATCAAGGCAAATCATAAAATATTCATTATGCTAAATGCTTGAAAATGAGTGGTTCAATTTTATGATATTTTCCAGACCTCACCTGAGATTCCTAGCCATTATAGCAAGATAACTGAAAAAAGATGTAAATAAACTAACGGTTCATATTAGTTCTCGATTACCTAATTATTATTACCAGACTGAATTTCCATATCTACCGAGTCCAACATTAAGCTAAATTTCGGTAGTATGTTCTCGACATTTGATATATAAATAGTCATTGCTTTGAACTAGATGAAAAATAAACCTGCAAGCTCCAATCCAAAAGCAATGGCACATTGATGATATGAGAGCAAATGTTTTTCGACGGCAAATCTTCTTCAAGGAATCCCATCAGTTTAAGAGAAGCAACAGCACAGTAAGTGGCACCACCTGTGACACTAAAACAATTCCAATCCATAAGTGTTACAAAAATTTGCAACAAGTGAACCATGGAATAAAAGGCAGACAACCTACAGTGAAGTATGGCATCCAATTGAGGCTTGTTTATCCAAAGAGAAAAATAACTTAATTGAAGAAAATATTGGTAAGATTTGAAATGTAGAAAGATAAACAGTTAATTCCGAGGTTACAGAAAAAATACCAGCGCAAGTAATAAAGAAACAAAAAAAGCACGCCTGATATTTCATTTTACCTCAAATTTACCCCCCACATAGGCAAAAAAAACATTTCATTTCAACTCACAGCTGTAAGAATAATAGTGAAGCAAAGTTCAAAGGGTTTTCTGTAATGTTGGAAGTCAGCAGTGCCCTTTTTCTTTATCAATATGGTCAAATTCCATGCAGTTACTTCAACTTATTTCCTGGTAAAAAAGTTTGTGTTTGCCCACATCGATAAGCTACTGGGATGTTAGTGTTTAAGCTTTAGTTGTGCATTCTCTTCCTTTGTACTAACTTTTGAGGATGAGTTCTGCATAACTGTTAAAAGTTTATGTTGGTCCCACGTTGATAAGTTACTATGCTGTTATTGTGAGTGTGGGTCTTCCTTTGAGCGAACTTTTGGGGATGAGTTATTACCCAGAACCATTTATCACCCTTCATTAGCACGCTCCACTCAATGTAGCACCTCCTCACAAAACAAAGATATTAAAGAAGTAGGAATTGAACAGTGATTCACAGAGAGTAGAAGAAAGCCTACTTAGGCCAGAGGAACTTTTTGAGTTAGCTCATTACATGATGAAAGTAAGACGACCACTACAAATCTATAGATGTATTCGCATAACCTAAATAGATTGATTGGTAATTAGACTAAAGCTCAGAGGTAGCTTCGTAAGTTACCGAAATTTATGTTGAAAGAAGATTCAGCATCCAAATAGAAACCCTTGAGCTAATTTTGATTGCTTGTTAGAATCATAGTCAGCATTACAACAAGTAAATATCAGTCAACTCACACTAGGTGAGGAGCAGCCAATTTTCACGGCTTGCTCACTAAGTTCCACAGAAGAAAAATATATCCCATAAAAGAAAAATAAGACATAAGTATTTGCATCAAGGTCACGTGAGAACTTCCGAAGCAACTTGAAAATTTAAATGGAAAATAAGAAAACTTTTATGTCCACTCACCATGAGATTCTGAACCAGGAATCAATCCAAAACCACCGTCATATGACTGTAAAAGGAAACTTAAGTAATAAATTCAATTTGCAATACAATACTAGATAAATATAAGAGGGGGAACCCTGAAGAAAATAAAGATAAGAAGTCAGGTTAAGTACCTGACAATTAATTATGTACTCCTTAGCTTTTTCCCGATCCATGCCGCTCCAGTTATTCAACATTGAACAAATGGCCGCTGATATATCAAATACAAACATAATTTTATCCTTATGAAAATGAAACTGAAAAATTAACTTGAAAAAATTTATTTACCAGCACAATACACGAAGCGAAGATCTGCCTCTCCTCCAGTATGAATGGGAATAAAACTAGGACATGTCCAAATGATAAGTTAGAATCGCACTTTGGCCATCTAAATAAACCATCTTATCCAACCCAAGAAGCTAGAAAAATTAATACAAAGATTTATCATCCAAATGGCTCCATGAACAGATGAACTTGAACATAAAGATTCTAGGGCTCATAATGCGGTTTACGAAATGAATATTAAGGGCATGACAAAGGACTTATAGAAACAGTGAAGAGCTGAACGGGTTATTAAGATGGGGTACAAGGCTGACACATTTTTAATTTGTTACCTAAATACCATACATGCTAAGGACTTCCTAAATGTTTTCAAGAAATTTCATTCATAAAATTGCAAGGAATTCAATCAGAAAACAAGCACACTATTGATGAAGTATATCCTTGTATCACTCTATAAAAGTGTATTTTATATCATTTTTATATTTGAGGTGTGTATTTGACACGAGATTGGAGTCTTCTGGGCCTTGGGCCATGGGACACGACAGTGTCAGCTGTTGTAATATGTTTATAACTTCAAAACAGTGGAAAAAGGGCTTTCAGCATTTTCACGAGGCTCAACTTTCACCGTTAACAATCATTAACAAATTTAGGGGAAGTACCAATCCTAAGTCCTAACCAAGGAGAGAGTGTGGAACAGCTTTCTAGTCAATTTTAGTAATGTGGGTATTGGTTTGCCCATCTTTGTCAAAGAAAAAGAAGAAAGAAACCAAATAAGTAAAGTAATAACAGTTATACAAGCATCTAAAAGACAACATAAGCGTAAGAACTAGGATAAAAAAAACTAATAAAGGTACCATCCATCAGCTTGCTGCAAGTTTTTCATTGATCTCAATAACAACTCAGCATCTATAAGTGATAAATCATAGCCAACAGTCTTTAATATGGCCAGCGCGCAGTAAGTGCTAGCCAGGTGACTACCGTTGAGGCTGGCTGCCTGCAGGGATCAATTTAAAAAGACAACAAAACAATTTAACAACAACTAAAATAAACAAATTTTCTGCTTTCTGAATCAACATGTAACCATATCTTTTACCCCAGTATCATTGGACTGAAACTGCGAGCTCCTGGATCCATGAAATCCATAAAATTGACCTGTCCAAACATAAATTCTCATGCAAAACAAATCTCTCCCTTATCAATTTAAGCCTTAATATTGCNGAAATGGACTAGCTTACCACTTTCTAGTGTGGCCCTGTTTTTTGGATGAGCTTGTAATGACAGGACCCAGTTAATCACCTCTTCCTTGTCAATCTAACATGACAAAAATCAAAACAAAGCATCAATGAATCACGAGAACAGACACCTCCTCACTCCGATTCCCAAATCAAGAAACGCAAACCAAATTCTAACCCAATAAAAGTATGGCAAAATAAAAAAAAAAGGTTGAAAATTGATTAATATGAAGTACTCGATCGAGGGCGGATAGAATGTTTAGGCCGCAGACAACGAAATAGGCGAGCGTAAGGCGGTTGATTTCTTGGCCCTGATACGCCGACGGCAGGAGCTGATACATCATCTGCAGATAAAGTACGTGCCGATCTCTCTCGAAGACCGACGATTCAGGATCGAAATCAAGGCAAGTTTGTTCGGCCATAGTGTTTCTGGGGTTTGGAACTTGCTTGCTCGGCGATGGGATTGGAGCAGTGTTGAGTGGGAAGGCTGGAAAACTTTGCTACTACAGAATGTGGAGCTCCGATACAGAAAGCTCAGCTGATCAAATTTCTCCTACTTGTTTAAAGTTTAAACACAAAACTTTTTCAGTTTGAAACTATGCTAAAATTTGCTCGCTGATTTCAACTTTGAACAGCTTGCAAGTTCAGGTGAGCGAGGTCGTGGTTTAAAATTTTAGTTTGAAATAACTATGAAATTGGCTAAAATTTGCTCGTTGATTCTAACTTTGAACAGCTTGCAAGTTGGGTTGAGCGAGGTCGGGATTAAAATTTTAGTTTGAAACAACTGCGAAGCTGGCTAAAAATTGTTCGTTCATTCCAACTTTGAACAACTCGCAAGCTGGGTTGGGCGAGGTTGTGATTTAAAAATTTTAGTTTGAAACAGCTACGAAGCTAACTAGAATTTGCTCGCTGATTTCAGCTTTGAATAGCTCGCAAGCTGGGTTGGGCGAGGATATAGAACGATTATAAAACTAAGGGAGAATGGAGAACATCGTGGCTTGAACAAGTCATCACGGCTTAAAACAAATCACCGCGACTTAAGCAAGTCATCGCAACTTAACGGTCATCGCGACCTCAAAAAAAGGAAATAGAGAAACAACACATACATAATATAGAATGTGATTACGATCTAAGCAGGTGAAAAATCACAGTTCTGATAAATCATGACAGACATAGCCATGCACAAAATGGAAGAAACTGGAAATTCATAAAGTAAAACAGGTCGACACCACAAAAACAATAAAAAAATATCGAGTTCATGAGTTCCTGAATATTCAGGTTTTATGACCACTGCAACAACAAAAAAAGTAGCGATTAAAGAAGTTCAAGGATTTTCAGCCGTAATCTCGGTAGTTTCATTATCGGCAGCTTCATTCTTGACAGCATCAGTCGCATCATCATCAGGACCAGCTCCACTAGCCCATACTAGCTCGACGGGACCAACTAGAGCGGTTGGGGGAAGCTCGAGCTGCTCAGATAGACCCGCCCTCTGGATGGCCTGAGCCTCGAGGTCGACCCACCACATACGTTCAACGTGAAGTTTAAGTACCGCAGGGCTGGGGGTTGATTTGCTCTAGGAAGGCAGGACAATTGACGAACTGCTCGACGACCTCTTGGCGATAGACCTCGAGGAACACAGAGTCGATAAAAGAATTTAGGATTGACTTGCGTCCCTTGAGGACCCCAGCCTCCTTCTCTGCCAAAAGCTCGACTTCCATCTCCTCATGGGCCTTCTCGAGGTATCAGAGTCTATTCGGCGGAAGCCTCTCCGGTGTCGACTTCTTGCTAGTATATATTTGGCGGTTCAGGTGGATCAGAGCTCATTTCACCAGTTCGATCCAGATCTGGAAGAGGGCCTATCAATATTTATGTTTAAATTAGTTATATGATATATAAGTTAGAAAAATAATTATAATATAACACATGTAAGTCGCACAAGTGACAAGGTCATTTAAATATATAATAATACTAGTTGGGTCACGCCGTGCACGCACGGCGGACTCAAATTTAGCCTAAAAATATAAAGAAAATTTGTCACCACTTGCAATGATCAATCGAATTCATGTCCAATTTTGACATTGGTTGTTAACAAAATAAGCTTTCACCATAAAAGCTTCATTACACAACTTTATAGGCAATTGTTGTACGATTCATCTTAGAATTAAACACACTTTAAAAATAATTTGGTATCTCATATGATTTGGCTTAGTTTCCTTTCCGACAAGTGATTAACTTCTATTGTCTGCCCGGGATGTAGTGAAAACTTATTGGTCCCTTGTGACAATAAAACAAATCCAAAACTACTTTTATACTTATAGTACAACCAAAGGTGGTACCTTTTTTTACAAATTTTCCGTAAGAACCAAACTTTTGGAATTAGGTACGCGCTAACAAAAATCGATGAAAAAGACACAACAGAAAGTGAACAAATGACAACCATGGAAAATCAAAACACGAAAAAGGTAACAAGTTGTTTCGCTCAAAAACCAAAAAGCACCCAAACGTTATTTATTCTGATTGCTCGAAATGCCTCCAGCCAGCTTTGAAGTATGAGAAGTTTTTATTCATCCTCATTGTAATTTCACACGTGCGTCCTTCCCTGGTTTCCACAATACACATTTGAGGAAGAATGGAATGATATCATCAGTGGAATTCTCTACAAAAAATATTATTTTCAAATTGTAATGTTAACTCTTGGAAATTTTCAAATTGAAAACATTTATGGCTAGTTATAAGTATAAACAGAGCATAACGGGGTTAGTTGGTAGTAGCATGACCAACAAAAAAATATTTTACATCACATCCAATATGATGAAACAGTCAATCCTATTACTAAGCAGCAATATGCAACACATTTGCATACTGAGGGAAAAAGTTCAAAACTATAAAAATAAATGAATGAACTCAAATTCATAATGAATGGTCAATCCTACACAATCAAGAATATTATTCTAATTTCTTGCAAAACTTACAACAACCATATAAAATGAAGTAAAAATGAAGAAAAATCAAACACAATTAGTGAATATAGTCCTCCATTAGAACAGAGTCCTTTGGTAGTAGCAGGTTCCTCGATTCGCAAATCTCTTAAAAAATTGGGGTCAACAGCTTTAGCCGCCAAGGTAGATTCGTGTACTATTTCTTCATGGAGCTGCCTGTAGTCTGAAATCGAAGAGATTCCACTCAACACACCGATCAATCTTTGCGCAAGCACGGCTTTTCCGTCCTCCATCGCATGCAAGCTGCGACCCAGCGATCTAAACAACCTACAGCACTAATATTTATTTTTAAGGGAATTAAAAAAAAAACTTTTATATGGCAGCTTCTTGGTTTTGTTATTATTTTGTATAAAAAAGTAACAAATCGAAAATATTTACTTTGAATTAGAACAATAACAGTCTCAACATGTATAATGGTGTTGCTTCTCTTAGTTAAATGAATCCATACATGCATATTGTTGAAGAAATTTATAAAATCAAAGAACTTAACAAATGTTTGGGAATCCCTGTCATGGGCTTTCACTAAGTCTATATTCATGTTACTTTTAATTTGAGAAACATTCATAAAAAAATCCACAGGAAATCAAACTCAAACTCAGTTAATATGGTGAGCAATAAAATCAAGAGTACTAAATATTACCANATTAGACATAAAAAATACACTCTCATCAAGTAACATTTATGGACAACGTGTAACTTTTCAATTTCAATAGGTATTCACGTATGAAAAATGGAATGCACAAATACATTAAATTTATTAAACATGAATTAAAACATTATAAATGGACTTACCTCCAGAGACAATGCAAACTATACCATTACCCTGCTTGTAACCCTTAACCATTACGAACCCTCTGCAATAACACAAATACGTCCAAAGTTAACCACCACTGGAAAGGGAAAAATAGTTTAGTTTCAATTAATCAAGCTTAAACACAAACTTTCCCTTAGAATAATAAGTTAGACAGGTCATCTAGTCCATTAGCCATGAAAAGTAATTTGTGTAAATCAATTCCTGTGGCAAAAAACTTGAAAAATGTGTATGGAGAGAGTTTTCACACAGATAAAGAAATATAAGCCGTCACGAAAAAAATGAAAACTATCCTCGCTTGTAGATCCCGTCTTCTCACGCAAAAGTTCAATGCACCAAATTTGAAGAGAAATAGTCGGATTAACTCAAAACTGATACCAAAAGTTTCTTCACCAAACTATGCCACTGAATATAAAATGTTCATGGAATGCAACAATTTTAAATTAGTACTTGAGGCGATATCACCACCACCGAGTGACA